AGAAGGTTAGCAACAGAAAAGCCTCTTAGGAAAAAGCATTAGAGTGAAAATTGAAAATGTATTTGGAAGAAAACCACGAAATTATAATCTAAGTAATTTTTAAGTAACAAAATTTTGTATACAACTTTTTTGGACAATAAATGTAAGTTTTAGAGGTTTATTAAAATTTTTAGTCCAATCAAAAAAAAAAAAAAAAAAAAATTAGGTTTCTTTTTCCCTCTCAAAATGTGCTTTTTTAAAGCTCTACAAATTTTCTTTCCAAATTTTATAAAAGTTGTACTAAATTATTCAAGAAATAATAATAAAAATTCACAGTTTCTGGAAATCCTTGGTTGGATGTTATTATGTAATTTTTACGGTCCTTCTCTTGGAATTTTTTTTTATAAAATCTTATATTCAGTATAAAAATTGTCCTTTTATATATCCATCAAATTCTATTAAAATTAATTATTCATTATTAATAATCACATTTCTTACAGTAAAGCAATGTAACATGGGCTTTAGAAATTAATAAACATAGAAATAGCAGAATACAGTGCAATAATGAAAATGCTTTTAATACAAAAGGGCAGGTCCTATGCGAGTAAATCACTGCAATGGCTGTGGGATGCTTAAATACAGTAGCAAATAAACATCTTCGTTCTTTCTACAAGGTTAACTGGGTTTTAGCAGTGTATAAATACATCAAAAATATTAATTATATGATTTATGCCCTCTTCAACGTTGCATAATTAAACATCAATTCAAATTCAAATATATGAAATTAAAACTAACAACTTTTATATTCAAGTTAGGTCTTACAAATTTAGTTATTAAATATTTTACATTACCTCACAGTAATAATGTGGACTTTATATAAATTTATAATTTTGTTAAAGAATCACTAAATTTCTTAATTTAAACATATGAAAACAATATAAAGAATAAATTATGAAATAACACTAAAATTACTCATGAGACTTATAAAGTAATTTTTAAAATATACTTTTGTATTATGCCTTTAAAAAACTAATGATAATACTTTTATTCACCCCCCCTCAGTCTTTGGACAGCACAAAATTTTCAGCATAATTTTCATTCTGGACATAGAAACAAAGTTGATTCAATTCCCTTGAAGATATTTAATTGATGAATGTAATGCTTTTGACAGAAATTCAAAGCAAATAAATGGCTTATGTAACACTTTATATAAACTCAGATCAATAACCTTGACTATAATGCAGAATCACTAATTATTTCAAGAACATTTTTCCCCCTCTAAGGTGATTTCCATTGGAGTTTCAAGAGGCTGGTAAAAAATTTGATGTATAATAAATCTGTAATAAAGTGTACGAAATCTTGATGATTAGGCAATAGTTGCAACAACTTCGTGAAGGCTTTTCTGTGCAATTTGCCTGGCACATAACAAAGTCTTCCAAATATTCTTAGTGTATTCCAAGTTATTTTTATTATTTTTGCTTTAAAATTTATGCTTATGGAATTGTGCTAGCCATGGAAGAACCTGCAGTAAAATTTCTGCAGGAATACTGAATTTTGCTGCAAAATCTCTAAATGCAACTACAAGGAGATGTGTTTGGTAGATAGCTGGTGTTCCTGAAATTTGCACCGTGCCATGTCTCTTTAGTTTTTTTTTAACAAAAACAGATCAATGTGTACTCGGGAAAAAGAATAGCTCAAAAAAATTACAAGAAAGATTTGGAAACAAATGTGTTTTATTTTTTAACATATTATGTAGTCCTGATTTAATAATTAAAATTTATATTTTAAATTGCTAAAGTGAGTTTTCTTTTCATAAGTTGACCATGTTTACTGATAAATATCAACAGTCTAGAAATCTTAAAAAAAAAAAAAAAAAAAAAAAAATCCTGAACTACCAACTTGCACCTCATAAGTAACTTTTTACCATTTCATCTGTAAAAAATTTCCATATTACACATAGGTGGTTGTATTAATATGTAAGTACCAAATTCATTAGTGTGTATTGCATCCAGGAATAATAAAGAAAAAATTCAAAGTGTTATTTGTTTTTATTTAACTTTTTATCAAGCTATTTTATATAATGCAGACAAATAATAGATCTGTTATTCTATCTGTTTGGTTAAATAATGACAATATTATGATATTCAAGTGTGCTTTATATTTGTACTTTTGTGGCTTTAATGGTTGGAATGCAAAAAATTATTAAAATAGAAACATTTTTCATTCTTCATGATATTTTGACTTGATATCCAACCAATGACAGTAACACTGATAGAAAAAATATTATTATTAAAATGTCATAAATAGGTTACTGAAATTAAAAATGTTATTAAATATAGTTTTAAAATTATAAAAGCTTAACTAAATAAACAATTTGTTAAAACTTATATAACTTTGTTAAGTAAACTATTAAAAATATTTCTTCTAATTTTAACTTTTGAAAAATGAAAGTGTTTTTATAATTTTGGCACAAACTAACTTTTCCACATTTTTAAAAAATGCAAGAAATTTAGTCTGAGTTTGTTTTTGTGAAAAATTATGATATTGACAAGTTGGCAGAAACTTATCGTCCTCAGCTTTTTCACTAAATTCTTTTTGTTCCTAATTAGTTTGTATGTTATAGTGTATTTCCTGCTAATTTCATTTAATAAACAAATAACCCACCTTCATCAGTAGTTTTATTTTCTTATCTGCTTTTGTAAAATTGTAGATGTGATTTCCTGTGGGAAGGGGCACTGAGCATTTAATTTTGTATAAAAGTTGTGGTAAGCCACAAAGAATTTTAAGAAACATGGCTCGACTATATTTGTTATTTATTGAAAACTTAATTTCCTGTTTCTTATTCATACATTATTGTGTATATAATCTTTTCTGTGATTATTTAATCATTTTTAACATCATCTCTGTGTCATCATGATATCAATCAATCATTATTATTATCATTAGTATTAAAGTTTTTAAGCATTCATTTATATTTTCTTTATCTTCAAACCTTGTCTTTATTCCAGCTGAATTATAGCTAATATTAGCTTTATGGTAAACTTATTAAAATGTTTTTCTTGTTAACTATTTTTATAGTATATAGTTTCTAGTTTGTGCCGATTGTGCTTTCTTATTTCTGTCCTGAAAAGCTTAGTTAACCAAAAAAAAAAAAAAAAAAGTAATATTAAATTTCAAATAAATTAAAAATTACATGCATCACCTTAATCATATGAAAGTACATGAATATTTTTTTCTCAAAGGCCCACACATTTTTTTGATACTTACATATTATATAGTCAGTCATGAAACTGTTGCCAAGCGGTGCATTTTAGTGCCAGTTATGGATAATGTCACATAAAAAGGCACTCATAATATCTGTGCTTTCATCTGATGTAACCTTGACTGCGTCTCCATAAGCTATGCTATGTTTTTATGAATAAGGATATAAACTTTTACTGCTGTATTATTTTCATGCATTTTAGAAAAATAATGATTAAAATTTTGAAATGTCTCTTCTATAGAAAAGTAAGAAATGGATTATTTTCAAAGGTATGTATGCTACCACCAAAAATATGTCTATTAAAGAACATGATATGATTAGCTGAATATGGTTGACAAAACTGTAATAGATTGGAACCTGCAGGAAGTTTGTACTCATAGCATTCTTAATAGAGCTTACTGTTAAATGGTAAGCCTTAACAAAATAGTAGAAACAGAAAAAGCCTAAGTGCAAAATGAAATGGGTCAATTACTGGTTGTTTATTAAATAAAGAGGCATCCATTTCTTCAAAATTCTGTAGGAACAATTGGCGCAACTTCACTAACTTTCATTCTTCATACGAAATCTTCACTAACTTTCATTCTTGATATGCTCTTATTTCTGATAGCTGTCAGGAATGTCCGAACTCCTTTTGCATTTAACCATATCATCAGTCATCATATTTCTCTAGGTGCATCATAGAAAATGACTAATTTTTCAGCCATGAAGAGGTAGGGCAACACACACATAAAAAGAAAAAAGAAGAGGAGGATTTAGGATGCAAGGATTATGTTAATTTTATTAACAGTTAAATTTTAAGTTAAAGTTCCTTTCCTGTCAAATTCTTAACTTCAACTTACTACTTCCGGCCAGAACGTAGTTTTGGAATCTTTCTGAATACTTAATGAGGAGGAGCGGTATTTAAACGGCAAAGTTACTTACAGAGTTAGGGAGAATCAAAGTTTCTGATTTACACGCGTCTGCCTTTTGGCTATTCTCTCTCTCAAAGCTGTTATTACGCTCAGCCATACTCAGGCCCTTGATAAGCTTTGTAGTCAAATAGAGTTAAGGGGCCAATTCGATTAGATCTTGATAGCTTCAGCTATATTTCTTTAGTTAATCTTAGTTTTAGTTTAATTTTTAGTCTCTTAAGTTCAAGCTGAAGTGTTGGCTTTGGTTGTACACTCCAAGACGGAGTTTTTAACAAAACAATCTTATTGGAATAATAAAGGGTTAGTAACCCTTCCATCTTGTTGTTTCTTGTCACATGAGCTTAAGTGATTATTCACTAACTAGTTCTTAAGATTCGTCATTTCCTACAGTAACTGAGAATTACACAAGTGAGAATCTTACAAGGAAAAAGAAAAGTAACAAATTGTTAGAATAGGGACTGTTTAACTGAGTATGTTATTTAAATTTTAATTAAAGAATGCTAGTTCTAATGACTGTATATAGTAAAAATATGCATTATTTTTGTTGAAAACTTAATTAAATTAAGCTTGTTAAATAGTTATATGTACTTATAAGATACATAACTTCAGTATGTTTTTTGAAAAGTATTATGTACAAATTTATGGTACTCCAGAAATGTTTTAAAGTAGCTTTCTTTGGTAATTTAATATTCTATCAAATATTTTTTTATTTAATACTGTATCAATTACTTTTATGGGTTGTAATATATAAGTTATGCCTATAAAGAGTCAAATATATTAAAAAGCTATATGCATTTATTAGTAGAAATTACTTGTATGTGTAAATGTATTATTAATTGTTTTATTAGTGAAAAGGTTAAAGAATTCATTGACCTCCGAGGCTGTCGTTGGGCTTATAATTGTCCTGAATCTCTTAGTGGTCATGTTATCACATTAGCAACATTGAAAGATCTTGGTGAAAATGCAACATTTTTTGGAAACATATTATATTCTGGTAAGAAGTGTAAATGTATTTTTCACATTTCTGTTTCATAATTTTGTGTTGGGATTACAATAACTCCCCTTTTTTATTTCAATTGATTTCATTTTTGGTTACAAATCTATAAAAAAGTTTAAAATATAAAAAATTTACAGAAGGAATTAAAAAAGTTTTTTGTATGCATTTTTGTATGTTTACATAAATTGAGAAATATTTAAATTGCAGAGTTTAGAAATACTTATTTTAGATGTTACAAAATTTGCATAAATGAAAGTCTCTGTTAGATATGCAGATGATAAAAGTTATGGAATAGTCTTGCATGCATTTTCTGTAGCTGATACAGAGTAAAACCTATCAAGTAAGTGGCTTATGAAATGTTGTATGAATCAAATTGTATTTCAGTTTTGTTTATAAAGGTTAATTATATTTGGAAAATACTTATAGGCCCAGAAATATGCTTAGAAATAGTTAAAAAAATACCCACAGCCATTCTGCTGGGTGTGAAGTAAAGAGGAGAATGTTCATTTCATTTATTAAGTCTAAGTTATTTCTGTAGATATTTTATTAGTGATACCATCATTCAGTTACGATTTGGAAAATATTTCTATTTTGCCTCATTGAAATAGAATTGCATGGGCATTGTTCAGTCTGTCACTTAACCATCCTTGCTCCTTTTGGATTGTTGCCTGTACAAGTGCTTTGGAATGTAGAATTGAAGGGCATCATATTCAACTCCATTGATGTACAGATACATATATATGAGTGTGATAAAATCAAACAATCCAGTAAATGTTGTTGATTGGTAATGTGAAGTTCTGAGGAATGTTCTATGCTAACAAGTTCTGAGGAATGTTCTCTGCTAACAAGTTCTGAGGAATTATTAGCAATGCTAACAAGTTTCCTTTGACACATATTGTTCGGAATTTAACAGCTGTTTATTAGTGTATTCAAAAAATTTCTTGCATCATCGGTAAGAGGAAGCTTAGAGTATGTAGCACTTTAAGTAGTGCTATATTTTAACAGGACAATGTGCATCCACATTTGGCAAACATTTCATACGGATATGCATGAAAAACCATTGTCTTAACATAGCATGCTCTTAAATTGGTTTCCCTTTGAAAATATCTAGTTTCTAAACTTTTTAATGTATTGCCTAATAAAAGTATCAAGATATCATTGAATAGGATGTACAGGCTCAACCAAGAACCTCTTCAAACAACAGCAAATTTAGGTAATATCCAAGACATTATAGTATGTCATTTGTGTGCTTTCTAATTGTGACAAGCAGTGAAGCATGCTACCTACAAAGGTGGATCCATTTCTTGTTTTTACCTTCCCTTACAGATATTAAATTATTATTTTTTTCTTTGACATAATAAATGTGCTCTGTGTTACCTAACTACTTGTGTCTATAAATTTCAGGAAAATTGTATTATTATATTTTGGGGCTGCAATTTCAAATTCACTCTATATATTTGAAGGGGGATATTAATGGAGAAAGTTTGTTATCTGTGCTCATTATAAGTAATTATTGTGAATTATGTATAAAATACAAATTAAATAAATATACACTAACATCTTATATTTTCATATGGTATTGAATAGGCTTAAATAAACAATTTATAGAAATGCTATTGAAATTGGAATACATTGCAATAGATAATATGGATCTTTTCCATTATAGGGCAACACATATTAAATAAATATCTTTAGAAAGGTATATATCTTGGTATTTCCAGCAGAAAGGTGCAAATGATAAATAAAAACAAAATGCCATTTGAATAGATTTTAGCCAACATTGTTGCCTACTGGTAAGCTTTTAATTAGATATTATTGGATTCGTATCACATAGTAACAGTGTTCTTTCATCTAAATAAGAACTACCAGTGTGTTGATTGTTTTTGGACAATCAGCAACAACAGCAGTGCCCTTCATAGCCAACTCAAATGTCTCCATAGATGGTTATGATAATCAGCCCCAACCTCAAATGGCCTCATATGGTAGCCCACCTGATCTTCCAGCCTAACCTGCTCAGCAACAGAATCAGCCTACCTCCCAGCAGCAACCTCCTCCCCCCTTAATCTTCTCAACAGCAACAATGCCTTCCTCACAACAGCAGCTGCCCCTCATGCTCCTTCTTCACAGTAACAACAGCAGAAGCATATTTCACCATCACCAATTTTAGTTCTTTTTTATTGAAATAACTAACTTAAGAGATACATTTGTTATGTTTAGAAAATTTCTGCAATATTGTTTTACAGAGGAAGATATTTCAGAACATATGTGTTGGGCATATGCTTTTCAAATGCAGAAATTTCAATACAAACTCATTTAAATGGAACTCGTTTGTGTGGGAAAAAATTTATACATATGGTGTTATAAGATAATTTATGAAAAAAATGTAAATAACTGGTATTCATATATCTAGGGGAGAGACAATGATTTTTCTAGAGAGACAGTAAATGCTGTACTTCAGCAATCTTTCCCTTCTGATCCAGAGGAAAATGATAATCACTTGCATAAGGAGTACCAGTGAGCTGTGTGTACCGCTTATTTTTCTTTGGTTGTCTTTTTTTCCTGTGATGAAGTTAACACAATTATTTCTATGCTAGCATCAAATAAAGCACCTGGTCCTGATTTTATATCAAATGAAATTATTAAACAGTTTCTTCTGTTCTGTATAAACTTTTCAATGTTCATCTCGATGTTGGCATTTTTTCATGTATTTGGGAACATGCTCAGGTGATATTATTTCTAAAGGCAATGAGTCTAGTGTTCCTTATTTGAATAACGTTAGATATATAAGCTTACTTCCTAATCTAGATAGGTGCTTGGAAAAACTTTTTGTCAACAGAATCTGCTGGTATCTGCACCAAGGAGACTTTCTGGTGATCAGCATGGTTTTACTTGGAAGGGGTTGCCGTCAAGGCTCAGTTTCTGGGCCTACTTTTTAGATTATTACTATTAATGATAAAAATAAATCAAAGCTCAAAGCTTAAAAAATCTTGCCTGTGGAAATATAGCTTTTGCGGATATGTGGGTTTGCTTTCAGAATAGAGATCTTCCTGCTGCTTTTTTTGCACAGGAGACTTTAAACCTCACCTCCGATTGATCAAAAGGTTTTAAATTGGACTATAATCCAAATAAAACTAGAGTCATAATTATTGAAAAGTGAAGCATTTTTTATGATAAATTTCATTTATTTCTCGATGGAACCATTGGCTGTGGTACAGCAAATGAAATATATTGGAGTTTTCCCTAACTATAAATTTTCTTGGAAGCAATGTCTAGTTTACATATCAGAGTAATATAATAAATTACAGCATGAAATATGTTGAATTGCACACAACATGAATGGTATTAACCACACTGGTACAGTGTGTTCGGTGTGAACACACCAAAAATATTCTCTTTAGACACTGAAAATAATTGATAAATATCATGAAAACTATACTAATGGTTACTTTTAATCTCTTTTATGAATAATAGATGGCAGCACCACACAAGCAAATCATTAACTAAGACACAATAACACGCCGAATAAATACTAATTCAGAAGTCAAACAACAAAAATCAGCATTAATTTACAAAATTTTCACAGGACTAGTTTCGATGGTTTTACCGAACCATCATCTTCAGCTGCAAAACCGCAAATGAACAAGATAGGAAATAATGTTTAGATAAGATAAGAAAGCCTGGACAAGAATAAGCAAGTGGCGCCATCTGTTGGCGAAACCAGAACTAAAACATAATTTCTCTAAAAGCCGAAGGCAAATTTGGATTGGAATTAGGATCGTTAACTAGAACAGAAAGATTTCTATGAATGTGAAATGCCTCTAGAAAATCCAGTTCTCCAATGGAAGATGCCCTTTGAATAACCTTGGCAGCAGAAAAATTGAAAGTGTGACCCCCGGACCAACAATGCCGAGCAACAGAATTTTTAATTTGCATTGGCCAGGCTGGGAGAGCCTTGAAATTTCGCGTCAAAGAACATGAGGCATACATTAGGAATAGGGGGAAACACAGAAGTCTTCTGTTGCTCAGCATTGTTGGTCCGGGGGTCACACTTTCTATTTTTCTGCAGCCAAAATTATTAAAAAAAAACATCTTTCCATTGGATTAACTAGATTTCCTAGAGGCATTTCACATTCAAAAAGTCCTTTCTGTTCTAGTTACGATCCTAATTCCAATCCAAATCCCTGCCTTCAGGCTTTAGAGAAATTATGTTTTAGTTCTGGTTTCGCCAACAGATGGCGCCACTTGCTTAACATTCTATGTCCAGGCTGTTCTTATCTTATCTAAATCATTATTTCCTATCTTTGTTCATTTTGCGGTTTTGCAGCCTGAAGTGATGAGTTCGGCTAAAACCGTATCGAAACTAGTCCTGTGAAAATTTTGTAAATTAACGCTGATTTTTGTTGTTTGACTTCTGAATTAGCAAATCATTAACGTTGAGATATATTCTGTTTTTAAAGACATTGATTTTCAAAGAAATGTTTCAGATTTGTTTTAAATGTAAAGAATATCAATGAAAAAATCTTATATAATTTTGTTGTTCGTATGCTAATCTGCCTATTCTGTATTACTTCTAATTTTTATCTTTGAAATATTGCATATAATGAAGCCTTCAGTGTATGGTGTGTTTGGACTGAACACACAGTACTGGTAGCACTTGTGACGTGGGGGTGTGTCACAGAATCTGGTCTCATGCTTCAAACACGGGGGAGGCTGAGAACACAAATTTATTTAGATTTGTTTTTGGTTTTGAAGACCCCAGTGCTTTGTTTTCACTTAGCTATTTGATTTTCAGCGAGAGCAGACTCTTTTTTTTCTCTTGCTTTCATCATGTGTAGTTTGCTTAGTTTTGATTTCTGTAGATTTTTATTTGTATATATATTTAATAATTATTTTTTCTAGTCAATAATTAATTGTAAATATTATAGTATTTAAATTATTTTTCTTATAAATTTTAAAATTGTGTAAATAGCTCGGAGAGGCCTTGGCATTGCTGAAGTAATGAGAGTTTCCTTTTATTTCCTGGTATTTTTGGGGGGAGATGTAGAGTAGCAGGCCTCCCCCAAGATGCACCCTGGGTTAGGCTAAATCTGCTACAGAGATCAGATTCTACTGTTTTTTTAAATCAAAGTATTTTACTATAATACGTCCTTCACAGCAAAGCTCACCTATCGCAGCTCGTGCAGCTCAGTGTCTTCGCTTCAGACACACCCACAAAATAAAAATGGTTTGTGCAATCTTTGTCAAATTATACCTGCATACTCTCTTAGGCCTAAATAGACTGCCTACAAATTTTTTTGGTAAAATTCCAACTTTAAAGAGTAGCATGCCGGAAAGGGTTAATGTTGATGTACATTTGCTTATCTATAAGGAAAGAACTGAACCCTTCATAATGTACAGCTTTAGAGTTTGGGATATGGTGCTTAAGAGGAAGATAAGTTAAAAATATCTGCAATGTATTCAGAGGTGGATACTTCTACAGGTCTTTTATGGATATAATAACATAAGTTATGAGTCTGTCTATGCCCTGTCTTGTTTTTCTCTAGTTGACATTGCCATTCTTCATAATATTGCCTTTTTGCCTTTAGGAAAATCTCTCTGCTGCTTCTGTCTCTGTTTATGATTGTGTTTTGCTCCATCTGTTCTTCCTTACAGCTCATAAAGACTGTTAATGCGATTCAATTGAACATTAAAATCGGAGATGATTTCCCTGTAACTTGTACTGGTGGCCGTAAAATTCATGACAAAGTTGTCTTATGAAATGGTTTTAAATTTGAGTATTTTCAATTTAGAATTTGAGATGGATGCACAATTTTTATAGCTGAACTTTTGTGTTTAAATTTTGCCATCAAATGGATCACTGAACAAAATAAGGATGTTTTGGACTTCCTAACTTGTAACAGTTTCCTTTTATTCTTGGAGACCCTAAAATGTATTTCTTCTAATAACAGAATCTTTAAGGTTCAAAGACAACTTACTTAAAAAGTTTTGTTTTTTTTTTTTTTTTTTTAAATTTTATTTTATTCTATTGCTTTTACATTTGTTCATGTATATATGGATGTTGTTGGGAATGAATGTATTGATATTGACATTTTTCTCATGTTCCTAAATCCTTTTATAAGAAGATTAAGAATAAAATTATTGTGAATTCATGGAATCATGAATACATAAGTTCAAATAAAGGGAGTTTAACTGAGAGATTTTTCCCTTCCATCAAAATGAGGTTGTCATGTCATAATTTTTTTACAAGTTATGAAATGACGCTATACTGGCAATGGAAATTTTAAAACAAATTTAGGTTAGGTCTAGAGACCTTTTGTGATTGCAGCATCAGTAGCTAGGAAAATGTTGAACATGTACTTTTTCTGTGTTCCAAACTTGACAGTGAAAGAAAGACCTTTAAACTGGCACTTAAAAATATTATATTAACTGGCCTCTTAATTTTCATCAGTTTATTTTTGAGAGAAGTACTTTTGACTATTTTTGCAAATTCATTGTAAATTAGTGTAATCCTTCATAAATTATAGTGTCTTTCTTTTTTTTTTTTTTTTTTAATTTTTCTTGTACTGTTAATTTTTGTGTATTGTGTTTCATACTTATTTCTCTAAGTCCCATGTGAATATTTTTGTACTACATAAGGAACTAATTATTTTTTTAAATTATTAATAATAATAAATTCATTTAAATTGTGAACTCGTTTGCTTACTTGACTAGTTCAGCATTTCTTTCTACATTGCAGATTGTGTTGGAATGCACTGTAAAACTGAACTCTTGATATTGTGAAAGAAATCAATGTTTAGATCATACTTAAATTTGTATTCTATTTAAGAATGTATTTAAATTTGTATTTTATTTAAGAAATATTTATTTATACAGGATCACATTTGGAATCAATTAAAATGGTTATAGCAAAGAAAGTTGATGCTGCAGCAGTTGATGCAAATTGTTTGGCTCTTTTCCTTGATAGGAATCCTCATTTTGCAGATGACTTGAAAGTGTTGACTTCTTGGGGAATGCTACCACCATATCCATTTGTAGTTAATTACAACTTACCTGGTAATTAGTTTGTTTTTTATTATTCATAAAGTATTAGAGAATTCGGTTTTCAGAATTTTTTTAAAATTAACCATTAATAGTTTTTGAATGTATATGTCACTTGATGAATATTTGTCATTGTGAAAGCTGCTATAACATAGTGGGCAACTGAAGCATTGTATGGTATGGCAGAGTCTGAAGAGCAGTAATAAAAGTTAAAAATTCAGACATATGATACATATACAGAAAATATATATTATACTAACTTTAATGTTATAGTAGCATTTTAGTTTTTATTCATTGGGTAACAAATATTATAGATTCCTGATTGATTAAGCTAATACTAGGGGTAAGTTAATAAATGGAAAATCATGGTGCTTAATCCTAAGCAGTTAAAATACTCAGCAGAGAGAAATAACCAATATTATAATTAACTGATAAACACTATAGAGAGTTAAAATCGCAATAACAACCTTGTATTTAGCTTACATATGTTAAAACACTGAATCGATTTCGAAGGCAGCTAAAGGTCCCTCCTCATCAGGAGAACAAAATTACTAGAAAGGGGAAAAAGAAGAAAAAGCATTGGCAAAGGAGTCTCAGAAACACGTGGTCGTTATCAGCACACACGTGGTCATAACTGGATTTTGAATCAGATTTTCACTGGCCACCTACTTTTACTGAGCCAGGTTATCTGATCAAACATATAACACAAAGACTTAAATGCAAACAAATCAAGGAAGTAAAAAAATAGGGAGTGAGGAGCAACTGCACCTTCATGCACCTAGACTGAACCTCGAATAAGTCAGAAGGTTCAGGTGAGGGGCCACTGCACCTTCATGCACCTAGACTGAACCTCGAATAAGTCAGAAGGTTCAGTCTTGGTGTGTGAAGGTGCAGTTGCTCCTCGCTCCCTATTTTTTGACTTCCTTGATTTGTTTGCATTTGATCAGATAGCCTGGCTCGGTAAAAGTAGGCGGCCAAATCTGATTCAAAATCTGGTTACGACCACATGTGTGCTGATAACGACCACGTGTTTCTGAGACTCCTTTGTCAATGCTTTTTTCTTCTTTTTCCCCTTTCTAGTAATTTCGTTCTTCTGATGAGGAGGGACCTTTAGCTGCTCTCGAAATCGATGGAGTGTTTTAACATATGTACGCTAAGTACAAGGTTGTTATTGCGGTTTAATTGTCACATTGGCGTGTTTCTCTTCTATACTATAGAGAGTGTTTACACATGTTTAGAACAATTTCGATGAAAAATTGTAAATCAAATGTTTTGGAATAAAAGTTTCTGACAACAGCTTCTTATTTGAAATTAAAAATATCACTGCTACTTTTAAATTTATTCTTCTACTAAAATGTTGCATGTAAGAAAGCTGTGGATTGAAGAATATGTTTTTGTTCTGAAGAGAAATATTCCTATTCCATGATTTAAAAATATTTTAAAATGCATTATATTGAAATTTCTAAGTGCAATATTATTAATCTGAAAAAGAAAAATAATCAATTATTATTACTTCTGCGTGAAAGAAGAATCCAAACAAATACCTGAAAGAGCTACATATTGCTTCGTATACTATTTCTGAAGTTAATTGTTGGTAAAAAGAGAAAATCCACTGACCAGAAGTCTTTAAATACATGTGTAGCAACAATAAATAAAATAATAAACCAAGGTTTACAAATTAAAAAGTCTGGCTCAAAGATTTAAAAAAAGGCTGAATCAAGATTTGCTAATTAAAAAAGCATAATGTTCACCAGCTTTTGCCGAGGCATATGGCTGAATGCAGAACTATTTGTAGAACATTATGTGAAATCTGTTTAGAAGGAGATAAATGAAAAAAAAAAAAAAACATTACAACTAGTGAAGAAGCATACGTTTACCTAAATGACTGCAATAAAAAAGGTCTATTTATTATTGAAAACAAAGAGAAAAAAATGTTCAGACCTAGTTCCTCAATTCAAAGAAAGTTTCAATAAGTTTATGCTTGTTTCAGGTTTTCCTTATAGTGGATACCTGCTAAATCTCCGGTTTTTCCGAGAGACTCCCAGTTTTTCATTAAATCTCCTGGTAGTTCATTATATCTCCCGGTTGTTAATTTTCTGTCTTTTCTAAGAAAAATGTTTTCCAGCTATAAATGAAATTAATTAAACTAAATTAAGCAAATGCCACTTCCCCATCTGTAATGGTTTTCAAAAAAATTTTTCTTATTTTATTTCATCTGAATTGTATTTTCTCCTTATTACGTATTACTTATCAAATTTCATCTGATCTGAGTTGGCTTAATCTACTGTAGACATTTGTAAACAGGGTTCTTACGGTCCTTAGGTTTTTTAAAATCAATTTTTGGTCCTTAAAAATCCTTAATTTCGGCCAAAATGGGTAGAAGGTTCTTAATTTTAATCAACAGAAATTTCTGTTTGTTTTTATGACTGCCATTTTTAGTGTGAATTAGCATTTTGGAGGAATATTTTTGATGATTCACTTATAAATATGGTTATATTTTGGATGGGTTCATAGATTGTTATTTGTTCCTATTTCTGATATAAATGGTGGGATACTTGAGTTTCTGAGCAAGAAATGAAGCTTAAACATTTCGAAATTGTTTCAATTTTTTCTAATGAAGACCTCTTAAACAACTTTTAGCTTTTAGGGATGTGAATTTTTTTATTAAATGGTTCTAAATTTGGCGACTTATCAACATTTTGGCGATTTTGAGGTCAGTTTCTATAGAAAATTTTTAATTCAGAGATCTGGGAATTTTTCAACGATTTTTTTCTAAAACATTGTAACATTGATAAATTTCATTATAATAATGGTAATATATTGAAATTTTATTTAAAAAATAACATTAAAATAAAACATTTTTATTTTTTGCTGTCATATTACATAGTTTCATTTTGGCCATTTATTATACAATATTTTGAATCTGAAAAATAAACAAGGTATAATGCTATAACACAATTTATGAAACAGTTCTTAGCAAAAGCAAAATATCTGTGTAATTAATTAAAAATATCTTCTTTTTAATTTTTTTATGGTAAAAGTTTTTTCCATGTTATTGTCTCAGAATATTCAGTATTCTCAGAATATGCATAAGTTTTCTCTATAAAATTAATTTTACACTTCTCCCCTCTGATTTTTTTCCCAAAATATTTCTGGCTTTTTGCTGTTATAGAATTTGTAGGCATAATTTTTCTTTAGAATTTTAGACATTGCAGCTTGGAAAGTTTAGAAGCGTTTGAAGGCAAGATTTATAGACCCGCGATTCTAGAAGATTCCAGAAAAATGTGACAAAATGAAAAATGTCTCCCTGGTATTAACATGTAATGGATGTATTTTACAGAACGTTTTTGATGAATTTCTTACTTTTTGGAGAACATTTAGAAGAACAATGAAAACATAATACAGTAAAAGTCCAGAAATTCGCAAAGCTTGGGGACCAGAGGTTGTGTGGATTTCAGGACAGAAAAGATAAATCATAATATTCAGACTAAAAGTGCAAAATTAATAAGGCATATTAGATACATTAATTAAATTATTATATAAATTATTGCAATAACTTATTATATGCATTAAATTATTATTACATATATAAATTGATTATATTATTCATTGTATTATATATACGCAGCATCGAGGTTTACCGATTTCGCCTTATGCAAAGATTTCCGGTTTCGGATTCGGTGTTAGAATCACTGTTGCTATAAAATTTCAACAGCTTTTCTTTATTTTTCTGTATATCGTACACAATCGTATCGCATTTCCATACGATTCTGCTATAAACCAAGGAGTAGCACCAGTCTCCATCTTTTGCAGAATTTGCACTTTTCGTATTACCATCAATGCAACGTGTTTACGTTTTTCAACGTTGCAAGCAGTAAAATCATGAGTGTGTTTCTTACCTGTAATTATATTAAAAAGGGCTGAATTAAAAAATATTCTTAATTTATCTACAAAATATCTGAATAAAAAAAAGGCAGCACTAAATAATCTCGTGAAATAACAAAGCTCAGAAAATACAATGTGAATCGTGAACTTGAAAGAAGAGTTGAGTAAATTGTCTGCTTTCTTACCTTGATACAGATTAGAGGAAAAAAAAACTTTTATCATGATGCCAATAATTTGGTATTTCCGTTATGGCTCATTATTATTCAGTAATTATGACGTCATTATTTGGTAAGTATTTTTTTTTTCGATATTTCGTACTCAATGTTGTGGTTTCCGGAACTTATAAACTGAATGTTTATATTTTGAGAGGCAATGCGGATTTCCGGATTTCAAGAGTTGGCGGATTTCAGATTGGCAGATTTTTGGTATTTGACTGTATGAATATTTTACTTCTGATACTAAAATCTTTTTCTTAACATATTTATCTTCCCCTTATTTTCCCTACTTTTTACTAGCCACAAGCATGGAAAATATCAAAAGTGCTTCTAATCTTATCACATGGACGGTCATTATAAAAAGGAATTTTTTCATTAATAAAGAAATTGAAAACTGGCAGTTTAAAAGATTCATCTAATACGTCTTAATGCATCATACACAGGGTTGGCGCTAGACATTTTCCCACCTGATGCAATCTCTGTGGATCCTAAATTCTACTGCCTAATGCCTTTCTAAAGTCTGCTTCCAGTGCCTGCTCTAAATTCTTAAAGTTTTGTCATTTCTAGATTTTGTTGTTCGGTGTGTCACTAAATTCTAAAATTCTGCCACACCAGCTCTGTAACTGGCCCTTACCATATTTATTTCATATTTCATCTGAATGTTCATATGACTAAAGAAATAAAATTAGCAGCTTTTTCTATACATTCTAAATGCATTTAGTTTTTTAGAATAATAGAAATCTTTAAATCCAGAAATTCTAAAATGAAAAGGCAATGCATTGGAAGAAAGAAACTGAATACATAAAGAGAAAAAAATATATTCTTCAAATATATGTACATTTATTATTATGTAAATTACCCAGTTGTTTATAAATTCAGCCTTTACTATAATTTCTCATTTTGATTTCCTCCCCAGAATGTAAATCACTTAGACAGTTTTGAAATTGAGGTTTTTGGACCTCAATTTCAATGGTTTGGTTTGTAAGACAGAGTGTGTTTCTGATCTCCACTTGTTCACTGCATTAGTTTTTGCCAGCTCTGATCATTTGTAATTATTCGTCTTTGGATTATCATTGCTGACATTTGAATTTGTTATGATGATAGAGTTACTGAGCCAGCATAAATTAAAATTATATTGTATAGTCTTAGAGTCCACATTTTTAGTTTGAATTTGACTCTTGTTTAATAACATCACCATAAGCTGTAATTGATTTTGATAGCATAAGAACATGCGTTTATGTTCCAAGTTCTTTTTAAATAAGAGGCTTGTCTGACTTTGTAGTTACTTTCAGACATAACAGTAATTTGCTTCATGTCTGTGTGGGGATTTTGGACTGTTTAACTTTTACCAGATCAAATAAAACCCTCATAGGTACCTTGTGGAGAGGTTGACAAGTTAGGAGATAAAGCATGCAGAAACATTGGTTTGTGTATTGAGACAAATTTCTGATTGTTAGAAAGGATGCTTAAAAAGAAGGAAATTGATATAAATCAGTCAAAATATCTGGGAAGGCTTCAAATTAAAAGAGCAAATAAATATTTTTGTTGAGTGTTTTTGCTACAAAACATAAATGTTTAAAACATAAAGGTTTTAATGTGTAATTATCCTAATATCATTTAAGAATCAATGTCATAAATTACATATATTTTAAACTATGCAACTTTATTAGATTGGGATTTTTATAGGGCTTTTTAAACAAATATTGTTAAAAAAATTATAGTGGCCATGTAAATCCATAATGACTAAGGTTATCTAACTAGCCAATTTAATTAAATTACTTATAACTAACTTATTACCTTTAAAAATGATCTCTGCATAGTTTAAAGGGAGTTATTACTTTTCATTTATCCTTACCATGGTCACAAGATAAAACTGAAAAATGTAAAATTCATGTAAAACTTATTCATTGCATTTAGTGAGATTTGAAATAATACAAAACAACTTGTCACTCTATTACTTTGGCTTATTGGAACGTTAAAGTATATTAACTGCATTATAACCCCTGGAATTCTACACAAAGCTAAAACACTAACTGCATCAGACAGAGCCCAACTAACTTTCAAAACTTGCCAGCAGTGCCTAGATCAGGTCTTTCAGGTTTGTTCTGATCAGTAGGTCTCTCTCTAGGCAGACAGCAGCGGTGACAACAGCCAGTCTTTGTTATAAATCATGCTGATTATTATTTTACTTCTCATTTTAACGTATGCCACTTGACATAAAATCTACCTGCTATTTAAACCTCTAGACTGAGTAAATATGGGACAAGATGAGACATTAAAAAAAAAAAAAATTCAACATTAAGCTAACTGTTAGTAAAACGTAAATAAAATGTCACTTATCTTCTTTCAAATATGTCCAACTATTATAAGTGTAAAATATTTAACGCTATTTCATAAAGTTTATTTATTCCGAAACTTATTAATAATTATGTTAATTATGTTTAATAATAGTGCATCCTACTTACAACTGTATTTTTTGGGATGGTATTACAAGAGTGAAGTTCAGGCATAGATAATATTTTTATTTGAATTTATTCAGTTCCTATTTGCTTATAGGTTCTTAATTTTTTTCATTAATGGTCCCTTAAAAGTCCTTAAAAGTGCTTAATTTCTGTGTACTGAAATGTGTATGAACCCTGGTAAATTTTTATATGAAGGTTCGAGCAATGACTAATTCTTGTTTTGTGTTGTTATATATTATGTTAGCAAGTTTACCCACACAAATGCTATGTACATTAATTATTGATTTTATTTTTATCGTATTTAAAAGTACTTTGATAAATAAGGGTTTTTCTTCACTACCAAAGAATTTTTTCTCAGTAAGGATGTAAGAAAATTAAAAAATGAAATTAGCCAAAAAATAAATTCAGAATATCCAATTAAATGCTAATATATTTTACATCAGAATTGCATTACAAATAGTTTGATAACCTGAACCATGCATTATAACATTAGAGTCAATTTTGAGTTCCTTTGAAAATGTGGTGGCACACAGTTAAAAAACTTCATAGTTTTCTTGCAAAAATCTTCCTTTTTTGAAGTTTTCAAGGTTTGGCCGCTCTGCAGTGGTAAATTGGAAATAAGAAGGAAGTAAGAGAAAGTTTTACAACCACTGTTTACATAAAAAATTCCATTCTTTATCCTAGTGACTTTCAAAAGGTGAAATATCATCAGAACAAAGCAACAAGTGAAAAGAAACTGAGTGGCTGAATGGGTGTAATCAGTGTAAAAAAGTGATTAATTAAATTTAATGATTATGGTGTTTAAAGGTTGGTGCAAGATGCCATTCATATTTATGGGTGTATGAGGAGTCATGTACATCGTTTGCTGTTCTTTTACATATTTCCTCTTTCCAAAACTTTTCATGCAGATTGTTATGTTTTTATCATTTTTAATAATTTTTATGGTCCACTATTTGCAACTTTTTTTTTCATTCAAATAGCGCCAACATATAAGAAGTCACCAAAATTTTAGGTAAAAAAAAAATAAAATAAATAAAATAAAAAACTTTTTCTCCAGTTGATAAGTTGTATTACATTTCATTAACAACCATGTTCCCTTAGAAAATAAAATATGGCAGAAATATATATATATATATACATTAGAAATATAAAATATGGCAGAAATTTTCCTTCAAGATCATAAAATGCACCAACATAAGAAGTTGGCAGAGAGCTGAAAAAAGTAATTTCACCAGTTGGTAAACTTAAAATTTCATTTCACTAGCAACCCTATAAAGAATGCAAAAGATATTTATCCTCAAGAAAAAAAATTGTACATAGCATTTTTTGGCCATTGTATTAATATAATTTATGTTTTACTCACTATATAATAGACATGATTGAATAATTATTTATCTGTTTCTTTATTATAAATCTAGAATGTTTTTATCATGCTTTTATTTTTACAGTATGTTTTAAAAAATTATGAATTTTTACCATTTTTTTAACCATAATTGGTATGGTATGGTATGGTATAGTATGGTATATTGAGATTACGGCAAACTTAACCATAATTGGATCATTTGAATTTTTTATGAAACAGCAAGTACAGTTTATATGTCTAGCTTTTATTTTGGGAATAGTTATAATTAATTTCAGATTAGTATTTTCAAGTGTAAAGTTTCCTAAAAAGCATAGGAATAAAATTCTTGATTTTTGAAAGCACACTTAGTATGATAGAAAAAAAGTTGGTTATTGAGAAGGACAATGCTTTTTATGGGACTCCTTGATGTTAGCCAATGAAAGAACTTTAGATGAATCTCCCTTGAAAATTTTAATCTGGATTTATTCAATTAGCTATATCAATTGTTTATTTTACAATTTTCATTTATATGTGTTTCCTTATCAGCCATCACCTACAGTAATTTTTAACCATAAGCTTTAAGAAGTTATCTTTTCTTTTTTTTTTTTTTTTTTTCTCACAATGCTATTTACATTTTATTAATTTTTAATATGCTTTTACAGAATCATCCAGGAAAGTTTTAATTTATTTCTGTAATTACTTTGATTAGCAATCTTAGCTGCATTAGTACTGGATTTAAGTTCTGAAAGTCCTTTGTACCATGTATATATATATATTTGTTTGTTTGTTTTAGAATCCATGAAGGCTGATATTACCAATTGTTTACTTAATATGCACAAAGACAAAGAAGGACAGAAAAAGTTAGAAGAATTCCAAGTTCTCAGATTTGCTCCTATTAGTCCTGAAGATTTTGAGAAAGAAAAAATAATGATTGAACGCACAAAAGGTTTAAGTTTTGGAAGTACTTACTACTAATTCCTTCCCCATTTTATATTTGTTACCTTGCTTTAGCATTTGTTCCTATTAAGGTGATATACACATCCTTAAATGCTTAATTTTTATTTCTGTGGATTATATAAACATTATTTACTTTACCATTAAATTAGTTAAACATGTTAATAATTTTTGGTATCATTACGTATTTTGCACTGTAATCAGGAAAGTGCTGAAATTTCATGTTTAAAATTATAAGTGGTGATTTATCTGTTCAGTTAATACCAGTAACTCATAAATATCTGTGATAAAATATATTTTCTTGATGATAATGCTTTTATTGAAATAAAATTAAATTTTGGTGCTTGTTTTTTAACTTCTGTTATTTAAGTTGAAATATGTTAGACTTTTTAAAAATAGTTTATATCATGCTTTTATTTTTTATTACTCTTTACTGAACTAGTTTATGTTAAATGCATGTGTTAGTTCTGTTTAAGTGTTACTATACTTAAATTTGTCTGTAGGTGATTGTATCTTATGAATGTTTATGATCTTGTTTATTTTTAACAATTTTGTGATTCTGCAGTGAAATCTTTAAATTTTTTCAATATTTGTCAATTTTTCAAAATTGTTCATAATTTTTCAGCTTTACATTACGTACATTAAATAAATTCCACATTTAATAACATTTTAAAAATAGGCTTTTAATTTCTAATAGCTTTTCAATTGATTTATAAATATTTATAAATTATATCTGTATCTATATATTTCATTTACATAACTATTTTTTAGCGAAACATCTAAAATATACAGAATGCAAAAGTTTAAAAGGAAGGAAGCATATATAACTTGTAAAGATATTCTGTCTGTTAACATAGTTCATTAGATCTTTATTGCATTGTAGCTCCCTGGATGATAAACACCCTGAAGTTCATTACACATTTCCGAAATGCAGATATTCCAATTTAAATTAAATATTCAGTAACATTGTTTTTCTCATTCATTTAAGTACCAGATTAGTAATTTGAATTTGTCTTTAAATTAGAATAATTCAACTATAAGTAAAAGGTTAAATATGTCAGACATTCTAATTTCTTGATTCTATAAATGGCTTTTTCTATGACTCTCAGTGCTGTGCATTCTAAACTGCTATTTCTTGAATTTGAATGAAATCTGCTTAATGAACCTTCGTTTCCTTCAAATAATAATTAAAGTAGTGTAAAGGAAGTGAATTAACTTACAATATTTTATTATTTTAAATTTTATATTAAACTGCATATGCCTTTTTCATTAACTTTTGTTTATTATTAAATGCTTTTAAAGCTCTGTTTTGTATTCTTCAAATATAAACTGTAAATTCTTTTATCATGCTATCATTGTAAAATTATCTACATTTTAGTTTTATGGAACTCATATTTGTTTAATCAAGCTTTTCATTAACAGTTAATTTTTTTTAAAACTTATGTGCTATTTTTATAGTGCAGTTCATATAAATTATGAAAAGTTCAGTTTATATGGGCTTAAAGATTTCATTGTTGTAATTAACAGAAAATTTTAATATCACTTTTTAAAAACGGGACATGTCATTTTTAATCTGCATTTACATATATTCTTATTAACTTAATAAAACCCCTTGTAGTCTTTTCATTCTTTTGATATTCATTTGTAAGTTTAAGACTTTTTTTTATTTTGATTAATTACATGATAAGTTATGTGTAATAGCTTAGTGTTACTTACTTGAAAGTATCCATTTGTTGTTTTTTCTTTTCCGTTTTAAATTCAAAATAAATAAGTAAATTATAACATTTTTAGAATTTTTAAAAAAATTTATTGCATACCCTTCTTTTTTAAACCTTAAAACATTCCTCTTATTTTAGTGATACAAAGTAAATATTTGCTTTAGTTAAATGATCCTGAATTTTGACTTCATAATATCATTGTTGTTGTATGAATATGAAAATTTTAGGCTTTCTTACTTATTTTTTTATATATTTACATATCTTGCAAGTATTATTATTATTATAGTTCCTATATTGCTAAAGTACTTAGTATGTATGCCATGTTTAATGAAATTATATTATCTTTGCATTGTAAAAAAATACATATTATGCAATTGAACAAATGAGATTCAAAAAGACATGGATCATTATTTTCTGAAGGCATCATTATGCACACCCTATTATCTGAAATTAGAATTTTTAAATTAAAAGAAATATCAAAACACAATTTAACATTTTGCAAAGTTGCAAATTGCATATTCATGTCAGTTATAACGTTCTGTGAATTATGTATTTAGTGACCATTTTGACAGACCAAAAAGGAACTACATGCAGATTTGTAAACATGGTAACACAATGCGCACCTTTAAACCTATAAGCACCTAACAATCATGTTTTACTTTTACAACATTTTTTATTTGCCTGGGGTATATCATATGTATCTTCACTGCCAGGAAAACTATTGAGCAAATTTTATGTTAACTGAGAGTTTTTTTTTTTTTTTTTTTTTTGTTTTTTGTGTGTGAATAGTTGATTATATATTTATACTTAAAAAGTATTTATAAAAAGTACATTTATATTTTGTGGTTACATTTTCCAGGCTTTATAAAAAAAGTTTTATTTTTTTAATGATTTAATAGATTTGGCATTTGAATTATATAGAAATATTCCACATACCAGTTAAAAATTAAACCTAGCCCTGCGTCAAACTTAACTGTTATATTAATTTATCTAATGTTTAATTATTTGATTTATAAATTTTTTGAAGACTAATATTCATTTATATATATCTAAAAGAAAAAGCAATGAGTAGGGCTCTAGGAATAATTTAGAAGTGAATAATGATAGTAGTGCAAAATAGCTCAGAAACCATTATGGTGAAGTATTTACACTTTCATGTATATCCTAATACATATAGTAATTTTTTCAAGCATTTATTAGTTGCCCATAACTTTCATTAATCTAGTTCTTTTAAGCAAAATAAAGACAGTTTTGAGAAATTACTTGATGTTCTGACATTCAGGTAATGCATCAGACATAAAATATTTGTAAATATTGTTCCCTAAGAGTCGCTGAAAAATCAGTATTGAATGTTTAATTTGACATGCACTTTTGATTGACCATAAATAAAATAAGTTTTACAGGTAACTAATGCAGAATTTATTTTGTGTTTGTTGTTTTCTGAATGAATTATTCTTATGACACATCATTACATTTTAGGAGTCTTCGAAATGAATAATTTTAGCTCAATTCTCAGTCTTCTTTCTTTCTTTCTTCTTTATATATATATATATATATATATATATATATATAGGAAAATTAGTGTAAAAATGCATTTTTGAAATCCTTTAAATGTAACTCATTGTTGCGGTACTAGAAAATTCCAGAAATCCAAAATAAGGCAATTTACCCCTCTTTTGCAGTTTTAATGTATGTTAAATAAGAAAATCGTAATGTGATTGTTTGTTATAATTGTTTAAGATATGTCCAAAATTCACGGGAGGCTCAATCAGTGGCCTTGGAGATAACTGTGTCATTTTTTTCTACTTTTCACATAAATTTTCAATATGAGAAAATATATATTTAAGTCTATAAAAATATAGCATTTTTTCGATAATAGTGAAATTTTTCAACATACATAGTTTTAAATGAGTTATTACTCACTGTATACTTATATTTTTGTATGCAAATAATAGTTATTCTTTACATATATATGGTATGTATATGTGAGTATAGTGATCTTAATTTCATTAATAACATAAAAGTGAAACCTTTAGATACTTACTGTAAAAAAGATTGTATTTCTAAGAAAATAAGCAAATATTATTATTGAATTTCACTATTTCAAAAATGATCATTTAATAGAAGTTCAAAATGATCTGAAACCATGTAGTACAGATTAATTATTAGAAGTAAATGAGCTTATTTAGCCCATGATAAATGGTGTAATAAATAAATCTGTATTTTATTTTTATTTATTTAAGCATTATATGTAATTAAAAAAAGTAATGTTTCACTGTGTATTTATCGAATTTAATTTATAATAACTTCTAAAAATTGTAAGTTATAATTCTTTGAATATCAACTGTACTTGCTGTTACTCCTTGATCTTGATTAAACTGGCACAAATAACTTTCTGATTTTTAAAATTCTGTATTAATTTGGTATCCCTTAAATGTCATAATATTCAGTGTCATAATATTTATTTAAATCATTTATGTGCTTTAGTTAACAGTAAGTTCTTAATAATTGTTTTGTTTGTTGAACCTGTGAAAAAAGTAGGTTTACAAATATTTATACTAGCATTTTCCATTTCATTTTTTAAAATCTCAAATATTTCTGATATATATAATTTTTGCTATTAAATGTTAGTTATACCTCTATATAAACTAATGTCTTCAAAAAATGCAATTATTGGGTTGAGATAAATCTGTGAACATAAGGCAGGTATAAGTATTTAAAAAAGTTGTTTATGCAAACTTGATTTTTTTTAAATTTGGTATATTTTTCTGAATATGTATTTTTATTTTATTTTACAATTTTTTTGGAGACTGATATCAATTGAAATTGACTTTTTAAATTATTTTGTGTATTCTAAAAGTGATATTAGTTTTTTAACATATTTTTTAAATTTTGTAAATTAATCAGAAATTGATATTAACCAATTTTTTAAATTTTAAATTTACCAAGAGAATGCTATATGTATATATATTTGTAAGCATTATATTGAGGCATATACATGTAATTATGCACTTGTTGTTTTAGAATCATAATGGAGTTGATTATCAATTTCAGGAACTTTTTAATTTACTTAAATATTTATATTTCAAAAATCACTTTATTTTTATAATGAACCTTATGGAAAACGCAATCATTATTTCTAGTGGTGTATTGAACATAGTCCCTCCAACATGACCACTTCTGCAGAGAACTAAAATCTTCTATAATGGTAAAATTCATAGTAAAATTCCGTAAAGCTTTCTACTTTATTTCAAGTCTCAGGAACATAGACTTGTTATCTGAAAAGTGCTGTTGTACTCTTGAAACATGAAAACAGAAATAATGGTTTTCCATTATTTCTGTTTAATGTGTTGTTTCACCTTTCATTTGAGTTTGTTTGCCAAATAGAAAAGCATTAAGGATATTATTCTTTTATATTTAATATATCTCTTAATAATTAGCAAATTATTTAAAAATATTTTTATAGAATTACATTATATATTTTCACTTTTTATATATGCAGAAGATATATAACATTCCTATGTTAGCCCATGTTAGTTTAAATGTGCATTGATCTAATATAAATCTGTGTTGATAAGCTGTATTAAACTTTAAAAGAGCCCTTTTGGGTTATCTGAACCTTTTCAGATTTGTTTTATTTATACTTACTTTTTAAAATTTAATTTAGTTATTTTTCCCGAAAAAAGGTTTCCTTCCCCTCCTTCTTACTTAACAGCATTAGGAAAACAAAATGTCTCAACAAAGAAACTATTTATATTTTGTGTTTAATTTGAAAAATATGCAAATATGGATATTTTATTTCAAAGATACCAATAAGGTCTATACCAGCAGGACTTACTGCTGATGCAATCGTACAACGAAGCCTTCTTGTCATGTTAGATTGTGAAGGCATATTCGTATCCCCGTTATTTTACCAACTTAAAGGGTCCAAATATTATGAAAAATTTCAAAATTTAACCATTTTTGGGAAATTTATATTTCTTCCTGAAGAAGATTTAGCATTCAAAGATAAACAGTGAAAAAATGTATTTGTAAAAAGAGAGAATGTGTGATTTCATAAAAACAAACAGTTCATAAATTGAAGATTCATAAAAATTGGAATCCACTATATTTTAAAAATATGTGATACTAAATAATCCTCTGATGATGCTTTTAGTGTTTTTTAAGCTGATTGAAGCCTTTCCCTATATGAATGCACAGATGGACTTGTAATCGTGTAATAATTGTTTCTTCAGCATATTCTTTCAATTCCATGTTAAATGAAAGGAAGAACTGTTATGTAGATGTGGTAGTAGACTGACTGCAGTTCTAGTTTTATTTACTTTTTATTCATAAAATACACATTATAATTTCAGTTACATTAACAAAAAACTTGCTGAAAAAAAATTTAATCAATATTTTGCTATAAACTATTTTAATACTAATTCTTACAGTAATTCATCTATAATATATTTAAAAATTTTTATGGATCAAGTTGGATGGTATATGCGACGAAATATTTATGGGCGATGGCAAAATATATCATGGTATATTAATATTTTTAGAGTTATTATACTTTTGAATTACATAATATGCACACAATTAAGAATCATATATTTTGACTGCAAAGAATATATGCTGTGATCAATATTAAATCAAGCGAAAATAAAATTATAATTTCTTATTTTTATGTGTTGATTTTTCTTGCTAATGAAGATACAAAACAAGACAAGCAATTCAGGCTGTTAAATATTGAAATTTAGTTAATACGACTAAATTAGGAATATAACATTCAGAACAGAATAAATGCAAAAAGTTTGGTTACGAAATTTTAAAAATAAGAACTTTAAACTGAATATTTATATTTTTATTCTGCTATGTAACTTTTTTTGCGTGTGTCAAGAATTCAGTTGTTTTTATTAGTAGCTGGTTGTGTGCCTAAAATAATTATTGTAAAAAAGAAAAAAATATGTAATGATTTTAATAAGTCCAGCTAGTGTAATTTCTTCGGATTAGCTAGTAATAATAACAGAAATAAAAAACTGTGTTTATTTCTTTTAAATCTTGTAGTTAATCAATAACAGACATAATAAATTTTGAAAGAAAAAAAATCCTCCAACCTGCAACACATTTCTTTTAAATTGCTTAGTTTTTTTGATTAAATTTTCTTAAAGTATTATCAAATCAGGGATGCAGAGCTATATTGAGTTCAATTTATTTAACATTAATCACATTCACATTTTATCAGGAAAGCATTTATTACCATCTACCAATGTGCGAAGTGTTAACAAGAAGTAAGGTTACCTTTCATTTTCAGGAGTGCTTTTTTTCTACTATGATACATTGCTGCCAAATCAATTATACAAAATTCAATACAGCACATTCAAACAAATATTAATATAAGAAAAGGTAAAATACATTTCAGGGAAACAATATTAAAACAAAAGCATAAAATAAATTTGAGCTCGCAGTATTAACACTTCCCATTGAACTCACTTTGTGTATTAATATTCATGATAACAAGAGCAGTTCTTGAGTTTCAAAACGCTTTCTTGGCAATGATTTTGTAAAAATATCAGGAAGTTGTTCGTTACCAGAGATATGATCGAGAAGTTCACCATTTAGAACTTTATCACATATAAAGATATACCTAACATCTATGTATTTAGTTCTTTGATGATATTCTGGATTTTTGTAGGCGAACAGCATTTGCATTGTTAACCTGTTGTGGTGGGGTTACTTTCAGAAGAGCTGTGTCCTCAAATAGCACTTTTTTATTTTTATATTTATTTAAATAGCTATTTTTATTTATTTTATTTTATTATTATTTAATTAATTTTATTTAATAGTTATTACATCCGTGGTAGCCTCACTAGCTGCAACATAATCTGCTTCAGTGGTGCTTAAAGAAACACGCTGTTAGCATCAGCTTGTGCAGCTGACAGTTCCATCACTAGATTTAAATACCACGCCAGACACTCACTGACTGTAATTTTGGCTAGGGTCATTCACATAATCAGTATATCAGTTTTGCTTCCATAATCCCAGGTTTGGAGGCTCTTTGGAAGAGCATTCTAAAATTAATTGTTCCTTTAACATGTTTTAAGACTATTTTAATCGACCAGTGTCTCTGACCAGCCTTTTTGGAAACAATGAACAAAATGATACTACAAAAGATGTCTGGTCAAGTAGCCACAACCAAGTACATCAGATTACCAACAGCCTGTCTGTAAGGAATTTTCTTGTAGTTTATCCAGTCATCAGCATCATCTCCTGCAAGCTGACACTTCTCAACAAGTGGAGAGACAGGATTTACATCCCACATATTAAATTTCTTTAAAACTTTGGTGGCATAATTCGGTTGACCAATAAATGTATCACCTTTAATTAACCTTTTTATTTCAAGGTTCAGGAAAAATTCAGCGTCCTTGTAAGTTACTTTAAATTCTCTTTACTATTCTTCAAAGAAATCGACTTTAGACTGTAGTGGCAACAAGCTTATCATCAGCAAATAGTGCTAGTAGCAACTTTTACTGTTGATTGAATATTGCAAAACATACGTCGATCAGTTCTGTTCTACTTCAGATCAGAACATGACAAGAAATCTTTGAATCTTGTATTCCAGCAAAGGGGAGATTGCTCAAGCCCAAACGGACTTTTTATCAGTCTACACGCTCTGCCTGACTTGTCGTCATAGCCTTCAGGTATATAATCTCTTGATTTAATGTCCCTTACAGAAATACAGTTCTGACATCAAATTTTATCATGCAGGCTTTTAGTAACAGCAACACGAATGACTGAACAAATGGTTTCAAAATGTACCATAAGACTAACGTTTCTCAGTAATCAATACCTGCCTTTTGGAAAAACCTTAACCACCAACCGTGCTTAAAATCCATCAATATCTCCATTTACATGACGTTTCACTTTGTAAACCCATTTATTTGAAATAGCTTGTTCCCCCTCTGGGAGATCAGTTAGGTACCATGTTTCGTTTTCTGATAAGAATTTCAGCTCTTCATACATTGCAGCCTGCCATTCGAAGCCATTATCCGAGTTTACTGCTTGGCAATAATTTTCTGCTTCTACATACTCCACAAAACAACACTCGATCAACCTTTTAAGTACTTTCAGGTTTTGTCGATTTCTCAGCTGTTTTATTGATTGTATGTCCTCATTAGCTGTTTCTGGATTATTTATTTCATTGGTGTCTGATAAGTAAGGCTCTAACATTGAAGGCGATTAAATTTGGGAACTCTGAAAAAAAAAAAAAAAAAAAAAGACTTACCATCTACTGATGAGGTTCCAGCATGATTTAGTATATATACAGCAGAGCTCACAGTGATTTTGGCAAAGATTTAACAATCATGATTGAGCAAACTATATCAATATGTGTTCTATATGTTCTCTTGGCCGCACCATTTTAGCATGAGATATAGGGGGTGCTGCAGCAAAACTCTGCTTCCATTCTTTGCAAAATTTTCTTAAAGTTTTTGTTTGCATATTTCAGTCCATTGTTACTTAAAACTGCCTTGATTGGTTTCTCTAATTTTCAAAACTCAAACTGGTCAGTTGACTCAGGAGCTACTTGTCATATGACCGATAACAAAACTTGTTCACTAAATTAGATAGAAGCGAAACTGAGCAAATAACAATTGCTAATGGAACTCAGATGAAGTCCGAAGGTATAAAGGAGGATACTTATAACTGTACAGACTATAAAGATAACAAAATAGAAGTGAGACTCGTGGATGTCCTATACGTTCCTGACCTAGAAGGAGGATCGATATCCGTACGAAAAATTACAAAGAAAACGTTTACAGTTGAATTTGAAGAGGATATTTGCAGAGTAAAGAAGAAAAATAAAATCATAGGAATTGCTAAAGCAGAAGGAATTTTATATACCATAAATGAATCTCAAGAAGAAAAGCCAAAATTGCAGCTGCAGAAAGAAGTGAAAATATCATAGATCTTTGGCATAGAAGACTAGGACACAGAAATTATGGAGCAATCAAGAGGCTAAAGAATGATGACCTGGCAATCGGAATAAGGATGCGAATGCTGTATCAGATGCAAAATATGTGAATTGCCGTATCCCAGGCTCAGCAACTATAGAGCAAAGTCAGTTCTAGACTTGATACTTTCAGGTATTTGTTGACCAATCGGTACAACATTACTAGGAGGAAAGAAATACTTCATAACATTCATCGACGATCATTCGAGATACACAACGATCTATTTGCTGACTACAAAAGATGAAGCTATCTCCAAATTCAAAACAATTTGTAACCATGACGAAAACAAATTTGGCAAAGAAGCCAAAAATCTTAAGAACAGACAATGGAGGAGAATATACAAGCAAAGAGATTGAAGAATATCTAAAGGAAGAGGGTAATCGAACATCAAACCTCCGTAGCATATTCACCGCAACAGAACGGTAGAGCAGAAAGAAAAAAGTCGATACTTAATGGAAATGACAAGATGCCTGCTACTCGATTCAGGAACTCAAAAGAGAATTTTGGGTGTGAAGCCGTAATGACAGCCACCTATCTACAAAATAGGCTACCATCAAGATCAGTTGGAAAAAAGCACCGTATGAAGGTCTGGAATAATAAGAAGCCAAATTTAAGCCATATCAGTGTTTTCGGCAGCATAGCTTATTGTCTAGTTCCAAAGCAGAAAAGAAGCAAACTAGATGAAAGAACAGAAAAAGGAATTCTTGTTGGATATAGTGACCGTACCAAAGGATATAGAATTTACATGCCACATGCAAACAACGTCGTGATCAGAAGAAGCGTAATATTCGATGAAAACAAAAAAGGAAGAAATGCCTCATCAATTAAATGATCAGCATGAGGAAAGTAGAATGGCCTTTCAAAGAAAATAAATCAAGAGAACCATGTCCAAATATTACAACAGAGGAAAGTAATTGAAACAGAAGAAATTCCCCTATTACCGAGAAGATTCCAGAGAACGACTAAAGGGAATCCCACCAAACAGATTCTCATACATGGTTAAGAATGAAGAAATCAAAGTTCCTAAAGACTGGGCAAGAAGTTGCAAATTTTTCCTAGCTAAAGAAAAGGAAACTGTGGATTAAAATCTACAAAAGAAGAAATGGAAGCACTGAAGAGAAACAAAACATGGGAACTAGTCGATCTTCCATAAGGAAAGAAAGCAATTGGAAACAAATGGACATTTAAAACAAAATCTGACGCTTCAGGAAATGTTATCAGATATAAAGCTTATTTAGTAGAAAAAGGATATTGCCAAAAATTTGGGCACGACTACGACGAAACATTCGCTCCAGTCGTAAAGTATACGACTATCTTGGCAATAGCAGCTCAAAAGAAGATGCACGTAAACCACTTTGTTGTAAAAACAGCTTTTCTATATGGAGATCTGAAAGAAGATATATATATGAAGCAACCAGAAGGTTACATCTCTGCTTCAGAAGCAAACAAAGTCTGTAAATTAAATAAACGTATCTACGGACTAAAACAGGCAGCCAGAAACTGGAATCACAAGATAGCTGAAATCCTGCGCAAACAAGGATACGTTCAAGGAAAGGCTGATCCATGTTCCTTCACACTAATCGAGAAAAACGCAAGAACTTACATAATCGTTTACGTTGATGACATATTAGTCGCGAGCGACAAGTGTGAATCAATTCAAGAAGTTGAACGAA